CATAATATTTAATTACGATGTTTTTTTTGTCAAATAGATCGATTTTACTATAGAAAACTTAATTCGATATTACTAGCATGTTAGTATTAGACACTTTGACTAAATATTAAGCACACTAACGAATGCTCTTAGTGTCTCAGAATTAATTTTATCTTCGTTTCTGACCTATTATATATATTATAATCTGCATAATTTGAAACTGTTTTTTCGAAATTGATTTGTTTAGTAATAATTACTTTTAAACTATGTATTTGCTAATTAAACCTATTTTAATGATAGAATCAATTACTACAACTATATTTAATACTGTATAATAATCGGTCCATATTCCTTGGTAGTTGATTAAAAATTGAATAAAACAGCCTAAATGAACCAAATCAAAGTAAACTATCGTAAAATAATTACAATTTTATGAGCTATTTTAATTTTAAATTATTTTTTTTCTTTTTTGTTGGCATGTTGCCGATTGTTGATAACAATAACTTATGGCATTACTCATGTCCCATTTCTGCATTTTATAGTTTTTATCAAGGGCTCTTTAATAGTAAAATCCAAGAAGGAGTTATCCAAAGATATCTATACAACATTTTATTAGTTCGTTACGTTAAATACTACCATAATATGAGAAGAAAATAAAAATTTAATCAGTAAAATAATCGATGTTTATATTATTATACTTTATTTACCAACATTACCAGGACCAGTTAATAACAATAAATCAATTCCAACAATTATCTTGTATTCTTGTTGATTTAATTTTTAAATTGCTTTTAATGATATATAAATTATAATAAGTACAACTAAACATTAAAAATCGTATTATTTTTTTTCTTTTATGTACAATTATTAATATTACAGGGAAAATTAATTTTTCCCTCTATTATATTTTATCATTATTTAAACATATCACTATACTTAAATAAGAAATTGTTATATGTGAACATATGTGTATGATTCATATGTTTTTAAATCATATGTGATTTAAAAAAAAATTATGATTATAACATAATTATAATTGTACCAGAGTTATTAATTAATAATATCAATGATAACATTTATATTTAAAATACAAAACGTTGACAATAAAAATTCGAATTATAATCAGTATTATTCTCTTTAGCCCTTACATGAATATCTTCTTTAGTAATATATTTTGACATTATTGGATTTTAAATATTTTTTTCTAAAGTTTTCGTACTATAAAGTAATCAGAACAGGATTCAAGTGTACCTCGTGTCTCATCAGCCGTAACTGATAAAGTCAGTGTAATTAAAAGGCCTCCACATCAAATCAAATTTTGGACCCGTGTACTAAATATTTTTGCGAACTATACACAAAAACAAAACTTCCAATAATAAAATTTACCATAAATGATTAACATTTAAAGAATAATAATGTCTTTTTTATTAAAATATTATTTAAAGTATTCGGATGATTCAATGTGTATATCTAAATGATAATAAATACATGATACATAATAAATAAATATGTCATAAAATATTATTTAATATAAAATAAATATCATCAAAATTTCAAAAATTACAGATTCATTTTAACAGGAATAGCAGGATCCCTGTACTCCAGCTCAAACCACCCCTCCCCTTTATGGGAGCCTTGGTATTTAATGTGATAAATTTGTACTGAAACCTAAATATTTTGAATCATTGTATACAAAAAAAAAAAATTTAAAAAGAGACTGTGTATCAATCTCATTTTTAGGAATATTTTTTAATTCACTAATATTATTAATACTATTAATACTTAAATATAATTTATACACACTTTTTAAACATCACATTTTATAAAATTAGATTAGAAATACTATGTACTTACGATATTTTTAATTTTTGTAAGAACTATACTCATGAAGAATAGTTATTTGTATTTTTAAGCTTTTTGACTTACAAACAAAAATATTATCTCCATTAATCAAAACCCCAAACATGTTACTTATGTATATACTTACCAGAATATTTCTTTCAATAATATTTAATATTTATGTGCGTCTTTGAAATGTATTGTTAAGGTCATTGATCTTTATAATAAAAAACCCTGGAATGATTTATAAAAAACAAAAAAAAAATTAATCAAAAAAATACTAAAAAGTCGAAAATTTTAAATTTCTATAAATAAAACAAAAAAAAGCAAAATTATTTTAAACATTGTATATGTTTTATACATAATATGTATAAAAATAGTTAATAATCTGGTACGTCCAGTAATCCAATTACCTATATTTTTATTTTTATTATTTTTAATCAAACGATTACATAAATTATAATGTCAATATAAATTAATTATACTCGTGAAAATTTTAAGTTTTAATAAAAAATAAAAATACGTTTAACTAAAATATATTAGTTTTGTTACAGAAGTGTACTTAAACAAAAATAAAGTAGATAGTAGCCATTGATACAAGTAGAATAACAACAGAATGTATAACTTTATAGTTTATTTTTGTAACAATCGTTCTAAATTTTAATGACATGTCATGTCAAATTAGTTTACATCCAATTATTATTGTTATTTATACCATTTTTTGGTGAATCATTCTTTTTTAATTATAGTAAAATTAAACATAAAAATAATTTTTATTGGCGGTAATATTATTATTATGATTTAATGCTATATTTATAATAATGTTACTAAATGATTAATTATGAAGATATACTTACACTTGATTTTAATTGTTATTTATTATCACTTAATAATTTTTAAAAACCTTATCAACTATTTAAAGATTCATATTTATGTATCTGTTATAATTTTTAAAAAATACATAGGCGTAGATTATAAAAAACAGAATATGAATTAATATTATAAATTATAAGATTTTATCTATCATTCTATAAATATAAATAATAAAGACAAAAATTCAATATAATTTAAAATATATTTATCATTTTTTTTTCTTATTTTATTCTCATTAAACTTCTACGCTCATTCTTACGTTAAATATAAAATCTATGAACACTTTTTAAAATGCAAAAGTAAATATTTAAGACTAATTTACATATAATAAATATTTAATTTGTGTTTATTCGTTATATTTGACTAATCAAAAACAAACTACATTTTAATCAAGCGGTGAAATTAAGATTTATACGTACAAACTTGATACTTAGTTTACGTTTACACATTTTTGAGTCTTCGTTAGTATTCTAGAATTTTGTGTAACACATTTGGCCAAATATACACATTGGTAAATTAGACATGAAACATAACTTTCCCTGATTAGTGATTCCCCCTTCTTAAAATTTTAGATTTCTGGTCATGTACATATTTTGTTTGAATTTGTTGACGTTCATACAGGACTTATTCAATTTTTTTCTGTAGAAAAGTTTTTTTTTCATAAATTTAAACAAAATATTTACATGGTCAGAAATACCTACAGAGTAAGATCCACTCAGAATTGTCATCATATTACCAATGAAGCAAACCAAGTCACTTAAAGTATACCAATTCTCTTATTTAATCTACCTCATAGCACCGAGTCAAGTTCAGTAACTAACAACACTGGTTTAAATTGATACCTACCTTTAAACTCTTTTTAGTTTTTTATATTTATTATTTTATTTTAATTTGTTTCTAATATTCTATGGATATAAGCTGCCAAATAAAATATTTCGTCATGCTGCGCAATCTCAACAACGAACACAAGACTTATTTACATTAACATAATATTGAGAATTAAAATATTTAATAAAATTCAGGAATAAACCAGTTTTTAATGTTTTAGTACTATAATAATTATCATATAATGACTGTGATTTGTTTTTACTAAATACTAGTTCAATCTATACTGTATTTCTTTAGTTGAAAATAAATTACTGATAACAATATAAATATATAACAAAATATCCTGAAAACAATAAGCCTCAAGATAATTTTTCGTATCTAACTATTTACCATTAAATTCAAATTTAACACATAGGTATGGACCTAATCAATGAAGAGATACACTCAACACTTTCTATACAAAAAGTTTCTCATTTTGTTATATTTTTCTTGAAAATAATAATTTTCTTGGTTTTCAAATCTTAATTAAGATAATATAGTAAATATTATAGGTCTTTTTACATATTATTTTAAATGTATACATAGAAATTAATTTCTGTAGATATTGGCATACTTTAATTTAAAAAATTACGAAATCCAACAAAATAATTATTCGAATTTTATGTATTTTTTTACTGACAACTTTTTCCGATGTGATGGTAAAAGTATAACTTTTTTAATTTATACAGATAATTTTATTTTGAAAATACTTATTTGTTATAATCAAATTCATTATTAAAATATAAGTAATTACACATTTATTAAAATATCATATTAATTAAATACTATTCGATAAACAAAACAGGATATAAAATTACTATCTAATATTTTTCATTCAAATGCATACGTAGATATATATATTTATTATAAAATGAATAGTAAGAATAAAATATTAATTGAACCGTTATTTTACTATATTATTAAAGTATACATAATTATCACTTGTATAATATAGGCTATAACATGTATATTATATAAAAAACAAAATAAGTATGACCATTAACAAAGCTATTCTGCTATTCATACTTCAATTATCAGCAAATATTTACACAATATTTTGTTATCAATCTTTTTCAGCCTCTATTCTTTGTAATCAATTTCAATCAAATTTAACGCGAGTGTAATGTAGGACGATGGGTTACCAATTTATGCTTGATTTCAAAATTGTATTTATTTTCACTGAAAAATAAAATTCATCACACTTATTTTACGCATATTTAACACTGCCTATAGTCAATAGAATATTATGTTACTACATGCGTACTTATTCGATTTCTATTTCTATGGTTATTCTACATTTATTATTTTAAATGTCTTCGTAATTAATCTGATTTAAATCGATCACAACTTTGCATAAATCTACGTACTTACCTACCTACGTTACAGAATAATAGGTTTATAACAAATCCTTCTGTAACAATTTATAATACTTTACTCCCAAAATGCAGCCCGCCGTAGAAAACGGAGAAAAATACATTATAAAGTATGTTAAAAATAATTACAAACATTTTAATTTTCATTGTTTATGCCAAGAATTACAAATAAATTACAATTTAAACATTTTTACCAATATTAAATCATAAAAAACATGATACCATAAACAAAATTATTTTTTTATTAATATAATATAAAGACAATATATTTCATGTATAGTAAACAGTCGATGGGAATCAAAATATAAACAAATTAGTATGCAATTTTTAGACTTTCCTTTTATTATTGACATTTTTACGAGAAATAATCAATTTTTATAATTTCTTATAAATACGATTTAATAATTATAGGACTGTAAGTTTATATGCCGTCATTAAAACGTACATCACCCCAGCCTCACCCATTTACAATTTTTAAAAATTTTCTTTACCCATATTTAGTATGTAATTTGTATGAATTTATACGAAAATTTTCAAAATTTGTACGTTCACTGTTTTCTAGTTATCAAACAAAAATAGTGGGTGGGTTTGGGGTGATGTGTGTTCAGCCCCACCCATGCAAATGTTTGTATACAAACGACAACACAAATTCGTGTGAAAATTATTCTTACTATTATTATTTTTTCTTAATATTATAAAATCATACCAATTTCATCTTGATTAGCAGTGTAGTATAGACGTTAATTATGATCAATTGTCATACTACAAAAAAATTATTTAAAAAGTATATAAAATATAAAACTCAGAATACTGGCTCAGTATCAAATTCAAAACGGTGCCATTGGTTTTTTTTTTTTTTATGACCACATAGATACTTTTTACCGAAATTAAATGTAAGTGTATTCATTGGACCTCCCCCTCTCCATAATTACACACTTTTTGGTCCAAGAGAATAATACAGTACATTAAGTAATTTGTTTAATCTGCGGTTCCCAACCTATAAACCGCAGTGCCAGTTGGTCACCGTGATTTCATTTCAAATGCACCACAGCTCATACAAAAATAAATTTTTTTTTTTTTCATTAGAAAACTAGTGTTCATTTTTATTATATTCCTCATAGTATCCCAGAAAGGACGTCGCCCGATTGCGGCCCAAAGTAAACTTTTTACCTTTTTGCCTATCCCGATTGCGGCCTGTCCATAGTAGGTAGGAAATACTATTTAAGTGGTTTAATATTTGACTAGATACCTATTTATTGACAAATTAATTGTACTTCATATCTCTTTTTATTGTAAACAATTCATTTTATTATATCCGTTGAGAAAGAATTATATTATAGTATACTTGCCATGTGTTTAAATATTATTTTTATTTATAATTATTTTATAATAATTTAGGTATATCGACGTACTTCATAATATTATAATAAAAGTTTGAATCTCAAACACAAATACGTCCAATAAACATTTATACAGTATTTAAAATATTGACTTTATTTTATTAATTATAAAGTATTTTGTGAACCAATGCGTCTTTGGACGCAATCGGGATACTTATATTTGGGATAAAATACGACTACCTGTATTCGGGCCGCAATCGGGCAACTCTGCCCAGAAGAGTACCATATCTGAATTTAGTCCAACAAAAGGCACCACCGTTTAAAAAGGTTGAGAACCGCTGTATACATTATAATAGAATAGAATAGGTTTATCATAATATTATAATAAATAGATTTATGGAAAAAATTAATTTAAAATTTTTTTTTAATGTTAGATAGTCACCAATGAACAAACTAACTACATTCTCTTGCTCCGATTATATTAGTAGATTTACTTCACTGCTTGAAAATAGATAATAAATGATAAATTTTCAAATATTAAAATTATAATTTAAGTACTTATATGATATTCTTTTAATTTTTTAAATAATATTATTATAAATAATAATATTATATTTACTTATAAAATACAAGTTCATAATAATTCAGGTAAGCATATACATCAAAAATCATATTATACAAAATAAAATTTTAAACTTTAATGTAATAATATCTACCTAAATTGTACTAAAAAATTAATAAAAACTGTATACAGAACAAAAATATTTTAGCGGAGGATCTCCATAAAACCAAATCAAAAACGGCACTGATTTGATATTTTTATAAATCTATACGTTGTAAATCCCAACTCCTAAAAATAAATAGTTTCTCTTTCTGATTAAGCCTTAACTGAAATAATTTATTAGTATGTTTAATTCTTCATTTAAAACTAATGGAAAGTACTTATTTCATTTATGTAAAAAAAAATAAATAAAATAAGTATGAGTAAGTATAAGTTCTATTTACGGACGCACAAACTTCAAGCAGGTTTCTTTAATACTATCATATTATAATATCTATACGTACACAATAAAAAAAAAATATATATATAAATTGTGAATTATTTATGAACTAAAATGTATAATCCAAACAGCTCTATAAGATCACTGGTTAATGATATAGGTTATCTCATGCTTTTAAATTTTTTGTAATAAATCAATGATTGGACATACGATAAATCACTCTATTTTCTATTTATTGACACAATATATATTAACGAAGATATATTATATTGTAATTATAAATACAAAAATGGTACAATCGTACCGACAGTATATAATAAACAATTATATTTTTATTTAAGTTTAGATATAGAGTTAAATGCAATGCAGATTGCTTTTGATAATTTTTTTATTAAATACTTGAAAGGTATCCAACACTTCATTATAATAAAGACAGAATAATACGAATAAATAAATGCACACCAAATTCATTGGAAAAAATATAATCACGTATTTTTTTTTTTTTTACAATGGACGTCCCTCATTAGTGGACATCGTCTGTATGCCCTCAGATACTCTGCCGGTAATGCTATTTGTGGTGGGAGGAGAGAGGAAGGGAGATAGAAGTGTCACGATATTACACGAGATAAAAATTAAAAACTATTCTACAATATTATTATGTTATAAATATTATCATACCAACTAATACGTCTCGTGTATTTGACAACCCGATGGGCACGCAAGGACCGTCGAAGACTTGTCTACGATAAACAGTGATGCTGCGACTGATGAACACAGCTCAATCAAAAATCCTGGTTCTGGACATCGTGTCTCAGCCGAGAACTACGGTTCGAGTTACGGCTCGATTGAAGACCTCGGTTCTGCTGGTAACGGTTCAACCGAGGATCGCAGTCTTCGTGAACGCTCGATCAAAAACCACGATTCTGCCACGGGTCAAGAACCGACCGATCACCACAGTTTCGTGGTTCGGGACTCGGCCGGGGGCCGCGGCCGCGGTTTCACGACCACGGGCTGTCTCGAAGGATTGGTCCGGACAGATGGCCACGGCCGACAGCTGGTCCTGTTGGACGGCAATACGGTTTACCGGCGTGGACATCGGTCTATGTCGTCTGGAAGTGGCCGCGTTAAGGTGATGGCCGGTCACCGGGGTGGTCATTATCCCGCGTTCGCCCGTTACGTAGGCGCTGGTATGCTGGACGCGGCCGTCGCCGGCCCGGACCAAGGCAGACATCCGACCGCTACGCAAGTACTGACAGCCATCCGGGAGTTGGACGACCGCTGTGGTGTACTGGTGCTAGTGGCCAACGAAATGGCGGCCATCCTCAACTACGGTATCGCCGCCCAAAAGGCACGCGCCCAAGGAATCGTCGTCAAAGTAAACGTTATAACGACCCAAGCCCGGACTTAGGGGAGCACGTCCCCGTGACCCGCCCTGTGCCAAATCATAATTGCATTAAGTACCATTATTAGCACAAAAAACATTAACAATGAACAATGTTTATGATGTTATCCATAATAATACAAATTATTTTAATCGTCTATTGAAATCTATGTATATAGGTACTTAAAACAGTTATTATTATTTAGTCGTATTCATTTCAGTCAATTATTGATTATTGTTTTTAATTTAAATTACTTATATTATTTTAATTTTTAAACATAAATGGGTTTTTACAATATAATTAATTTTACTATAAATTCGTAATAATTTTGTTTATTATAAATAAATGATATTTTAAAGTTATGAGTACCATTACCTATAACGATAATCAAAACTTTGAAAAAAAAAAAAAAACATTTTTCTTTTTTTCTACTTCTAATGCAGGACTTAATCTAAGCTTACTATATATATTTGCAGATATATATATTATGAGAGGTAAATAATATACATCCCCCTTCCACAACTCTTATTTTTCATAGTACATAAATCTAAAAATATTTTTAAAAGACATATTAGGTATATATAATATGCATATTTACATAACCATTTTCTTTTTTTTTAATACAACCTCTCACTGCCCCATTCACCTATGTAAATGTATGTGTATGCACTATAAGAGATGCATTTAGATTTCAAACATTACACGAAGATATTTAATAACACATCGATATTTCTGAAATGATGTAATTATTTGTATCATGTTTAATCGCCACCTAACACATAATATCTTTACGTTGAACACTTTAAAGTCAATCATGATCAATATTATTAGAGAAGTAAAATTAAATTAATAATTTATTTTTAATTAACAAGCTGTTGGCAATCGGAGATGACGTTATCCGAAGTCAGTCAACTACTGATGGTCGACGACGTGGTGCCGCGGGCATAGTGTTAATGTGCAAAATCGCTGGAGCCCTGGCAGCCGGTGGTCACAGCTTGACCAAGATTTTTGCCGTGTGTCAGCGCCTGTCTATGGACCGCATGGCCACCGTAAACGCAGTAATTGGTTTAAGAAAGCGGATGTACAATGAAAATTCCAGCAGCGAGTACGTATATATTATGCATACGGCTATACCACAACCACGGTAATGACCGATAACAACTCAAGTCCCTTGCCACGGATCATAAATCTGGGTTTTCACTACGCTTATCATTATGTAAAGTAAAACGTATATGATATGGAGTTACCGACATTTTGTTACACGCCCACATAATATTAAGTGTACAGAATATGACACGACATGTGTCGAATGTGAACCCGACTTTTATACTGCCCGCTGTCTCTATTATGCTGACTAGTGCCTATATAAGTAGTGCATTTATAATCTGCATAGATTATTCTTTTCATATGTCTAACACGCGTGTCGATTTTAGCACGGTCTCGCAGCTGGAGCAAAACAATGTGTTTAACTATAACTACCATAATATTAATAGGTATTCAGTAATAGTACTTAGTTATAGTAATAAATTCGCGTATAGGACAGCACACTATGCACACACTTATATTTATTCCGCGCACGTTTCACAAGTATGCGTTCTTATACACTTATGATGTTGCCTACACTGAACTCCTTATAATAGATCGTCGCCATCATCTCAAGATAAAATACAAATTTAAGTTTTGCTTAACTATATAATACTCAATTTTCCAGGAACAATGTCATCTTGTTTGTTTGCGTATATACGAAAAACCAACAACAACGCACAAAATAAAAACAACGCTTTTACCTAATGTCACTTCCATGTGCTTATTATTATTAATCCGCTCAAATATTACATATTTTCACCAACTTAGCGTGCATTATAAATTTTTTGAATATATTTTAAATATTACAATTTAGTGTGGAACAGTGTGACACGTTACGATAATATTTGGCTTTCTTGACTGCAAAAATAAAATTCATACCTAACGTCTAATGTAGGTGTATGTAAAATTCGTTTAGTTACACCATATTAATTATTTAAGTCTTAAACATTAAGTATTTAGGTAGTAGTAATATTAACATTATTTAAATTTTAATACAATTACCTATAATTTCAACTAATTTTAATTAATTTATATATATAGCACATTATATTATATTATAGATTGTTAATCATTTTATTATAACTGTCTACTAATAATTATTCAATAGTTTTTATTTTTTGTTCATATAACTAACTTGCAGTAAAACATAAATTATTTTAAGCCATTTATCCGTAGGTACAAGATTATAGTAAAAATAATTGTCCATAATAACACAACATTATCGTTGTCAGTTTGTCGCTGTTTATAAATAAATTACAAGTATAAACATACTGTTCAAAATTATTTACCAACATAACTACGCGTGAGGTTAAAATAATAAATATATTTTATATCAATATTATGTTTAAAAAATGCATAACTCGATCACTCCTAAATATGAGTAAATATATTATATATATATTCCTAAATATACGTAATAATAGATTACAAGCGCGTTTTGACTTATATTTATATATAACCACGTATAAACACCAAACAGACAAGTATAAGTCTATAATTTTCAAGTCTAACGTTTTGCGCAGGAGTGAAGAAGACATGCTATTGCTGGGCACGGACGCGAATGGCAGGAACGAGATTCGGACCGTGCGGACGACGGATCTCACAGCGATGGTGTCTGTCACGCTAAACTTACTTACAAACGACAACCAGCACATCATCCGGCGTTGGCGGGATGCTGACATCGTGGCCATGGTCAACAACATGGGTGGCATGTCAGACGCGCGGTTCATGGCCATCGTGGCCGAGTTGACCGATCGGCTCGGCGCGGCCACCGGCGCTCGCGGGGTTCACCGGTGGTACACGGGCCGGATGTTACCGTCATCCGGTGACACAGACCACGGATTTTCCGTGACCATAATGGACGTTGGCACCGCAGCCCGTGGATCGGCCCCCGCCGACGAGCGTGTGTACGGTGGCCTTTGCTATTCATTGATGACTTGTCTGGATTTTCCGGTATCCGCTTCCGGTTGGACGTTCACCGGCTTGGACGGACGTCTTGATTTGGCCCAGCACCCTCCGCCCGAGTATGTCCGACGCCAAATACACTGCCCTTGTGACCTCCTGATGGGTGGAAATGACCGTGGTGGTGACATCTACGAACATGATGAAGACGACGATGACAACGATTTTCCGCCAAGCCCGATCGTGCCCGAAGACCAAGTTCCGTTCGTAACGGAAGTTTTGAGTATACCATATTTCATTATACACTTTAATGTTACAAAAATTAAGTGTTAGTCTTTAAACTCTAAACAAATCCTCAAACTTCGAGAACTCCATATAGTTCAAATTGTTTAAAACCCGGCAAAAATGTATACAAATTTGAGTTTAAACATTTCAAATAATTCAAATCTTGGCATTAAATTTAAAAATGTTAATTTTGTATCACTCACAATTATTACTATTTATATTTATTTGATATTTCAAATAAGTAGAGTGTTTAATAGTTTATTCATTTTAAAACTGAAACGAAATTTTAATAAAAACAAAACGTATATCATATCAATTAAATATTTAAAAGTTTGAAAAATGCACAAAATTCGTATCAAAAAATTAAGCGCCAGTTCGTAAAAATTGAAATTAAATTTTCCACGGAGCACGTTCTTTTATGTATAATGGGTCGTGTTCGAATTTATTTTTGAGTTTTGATGAGTATTATTATTGTGCTGTGCACAGTTCACGTGTGCGATCGGATCGTCGAGACAGAGAGCCAGATGAATGCAATGGATGAGGCGGATGATGGCGACTGCGGCAGCAACTGGCGGCGTGGCGCCGAGGCAATTAGGGAGGCCATTACTGCGGGCAAGGTGGACGTGACCAACCCTGCAAGCACACTGCGCTCAATTGGCCGGCTACTTGAGACCCGCATGGCCGGCACTTTGGGCACGCTGTTGTCCATTTTATTCCGCTCATTCTCACTGTCATTTTCCAAGCACTCTTGCCGCGTGTCTCTCAGACCCAGCATGTGGGTAGACGGCCTTCGCCACGGTATAGCAGCCGTCGAGGCGTACGGCATGCGTCAACCCGGCAACCGGACCATATTGGACGCATTAGTTCCGGCCGTCCTGAGTATGGAGGACGTCCTGCGCAAATCTAAAAACCCGGTAAACGCTTTTGAGTATATGATTATCGGATAAAGGGAATAATATATTAAATAAGTAATAACTGATAAATCTAGTCCGGACTTAAATACACTAAAATACGTTGAAATAATATGAATTTATTCATAAAAAACCTTAAAATATACACTTAATACGCTTTTAAAATTTTAAGAAATGAACAAAATATCTATGCATTTTCTGCCAAACAAATCGTTGATATTTTTTTAAACCTGTTGAACTACCTACTAATCACAGTAAAAAAATTAAATACATACAAACCGTCACTAGTCATTTTAAGGAATCCAAGGTATGCAATACAATGTATAGACGACTCTGCTTTTTGTAGCGTCAACAAACAGACGGTGATGAGAAAATAATAATATATCTCGTGTAAAATTTTAAATAGTCTCGAAAATAGAATTAGGGGCTGACACCAAGTGATTTATTAAAAAATATAAACATTTTTTTTTTTTTTTTTTTGGCAGTAAGATTAATCATATTATGCACGATTTGTGGTATTTTTTGGTAAATAACGTTAAGTATTAGATTTTTAACAATCTTAACGATCAAGCAAATGATACGATAAGTATCTACTGTAGAGTGATTTAAATCCTATTTTAATTTAAGTTCTAGTTAAAAAATATTGGTATTCAGTACACAATATACATCATTTTCAATTCACTATATTATTACTGAGATTAGAAACGTCGTTACGCGATATATATATATTTGTTGTGCCACTTAAAACAAAAATAAAAAATTATCACCGACGTCATACGTATATCTACAAACGGTATTAAAGAAAGCATCATTTAACACAAATATGTACATTATTATTTGTTAGATTTTTACAATAATCAGATATTCAAAAAAATCCAAATCTTTCCTAATAATTCTTTTGATACGACTATTCACATAGTCATCATCCTTTTCGGCCAAAACTTACCTTATTTCCTAAGTGAACAATTCAACTAAACAAATTTCTTGCAGATTTAATTAAGTATAATTGTACCCAAAAATAAGATTTTTAATGCTCAAAATTATCATGTAGTACATACAACTGTGAAAAAATAATAAAAATAAAATAATTTTAATAACATCACTTATAATCAAATTAATAAAATAATATATAATATGTATTGATGACTATAAGTAATCAATGTAATATACATAATAACTATAATAATGAAATAGTATATCTTCATAAATATGTCAAAAATTAAAATTAAGCTTAAGTACCTAACCATAAAAATATTATAATATACTGAAAACAAGAGTCGATAAATGAGGGGCACGGACATCGACAGAAGCGGTTGAGTCAACGATAAGCCTGGATGAGCCACGACTCACCTTAAAATATCTCGGTTTCACAATTTGACCATCCTGTTTTTACATTGTATTTTTGTTTTGTTTAATATTACAGTTTTTTCAGAGGTGCCTTTGGGGGAATAAAAATCAAGATAATATTTATTACTTATTAATTATATTATCAAAAAAAAAAGGTATAACAACTCAGAACCTGCAAATATTTTTAAACAACAGAAATATAATATAAATGTTTTTTATTTCATAGTGATGAGATACCTACTTATTAAGCATAAGCTAATTATAGTGGAAAAACAATGAAAAGTAAAATCACGAAATGTTTAGATTTCTTTTTGACTTCTGTCAGTATTAAAACGATTAATATGAACTATACCAATAGGTAATGGACGTGCACAAAAGATATTGTTTGAAATTTGTACTTGGTTTTTTCGTGATGTAAATAAATTTATTGTACCAATAATCTTTATATTATATAATTCATCAGTTAATTCCCATAGTTATGTTATATATTATTTTTAATTATTAAACGAGACGTATGCAATAAAATATGAGGAGTGAACTGAGTGAAGGCGCAAGTTGTTAAATAATAATAAACTTAATAAAAGTCGTGAACCCCACCTGAACAAAAAATTATGGTAACGTCACTAAATCGACAGCAACAATTTTATAGTAATACATTGACTGGACGAAAACCAACAACGCGACATAATAGACACAATATTGTATATCATATTATTATCATACACAGCCATCCATATACCTACTGTACACTGCGCGATATGCGCGCGAACGGCGCTATTATTTTACTGTTATTTGTTATATTATTATCGTGTTGGTGGCGTCGGGAAAATTCCGACTGCATATCGCCAAACGTGTGCCTCGCCATAAAGACCCGAGTAGCACGCCCAATGACACGTTCGATGGCGTCTGCAGTTATGCGACAATGCGGGCGTTATCGTCGCGTAGGATTGGGTCTACCTCGCAGATTGGTATAGTGTCGGTGGAATCAGAGTGAGGAGAAGGGGAGAATTTGATGATTTTTCCACAAACGGTTTTTGAAAACGTCGAAATAATACACTGGACGTAACATGATATTGACAAAACGTCGGATTCCTAAGTTTGATACCGGCAGTGTCGGGTTATTAAATGATAAAGAATGATGTAAAAAAATATAGCATCATTGAATTTAACAATACCTGTAGTAATACGGATCGATATAATGGTATAATCATAATTTACAATGGATATTTTATAATCAAATGTAAAATGAACCTAAACAAAATTAATCACGAATAATGATTTTTTAATGATCGAATATGATTAATTTCATTAGTTAGTTTTTCAGATGAAAAATTATATATGTTTTAACTAATAAATCACTTAACAATTTTTATACATACGGTCAAACGTTAATGTGTCGAGTCTGGCGTTCTTACCCACATACAAATATTATTACCTCCTATACCTTACTAATGTGTCACAACTCTTAATCAGTATCACTATGATTAATATATAGATCGTCTTATTCAATACAGATTCGCCTACTGAACAGAGCGGTTAGAGAAGCGGATGCGGGATGCAAGCTGACCGAGCACATGATTCGCGGTGGCGAGCAGACCTCAAATTACGGAGCTGACGCTGGTGCGTACGGCGTGAAAACCGTGTTAGAAGCAATACTGGAAAAATACACCGAACGATCGGCTGCCGCGATGGCGACAGCGACGGCAAAAAATTGCATATGTTCGACCCCGACGTGATATACGGGCTCGACTGATATCACATTATGTAATAAACAGTTATTTTCACAAGGCGAGTGTGCGTATAGAAATAACATCGTGTTGAGAGGATAGGGACCCGCCAAAGAGACGTATGGCGTGATCCCGTCGGTACCATTTCCACAAAGAATTCGATAACAGCTGTCTCTCTTCGAGGGTTGGGCAACAAATTTCTTGTTTTTCCGGTATGACAGTCTAAACACGCGAGGAAACGTGTTTACTGTTTTTATCCATTCGGTTAGATATTAAACTAATAACGGGATAAGGACCGCAGGGGAGAAGACTAAAAGAATCTAGGAAAACAAAAATACACACGACTTGAATTATTTTCAAATTTCATATAATTTATTTATTCATTTTTCCTAGTCAATTATATTACTTATACAATATTATACTAATTACGTTATAAATTTAAACTTAATTCATTCAAAAGATGGGTAACTTCAAACAACATTTCGCCAAGGCGCGCAACGAATACGCTTTTCCAGGGCCTTACACACTAAAGAACAACACCATTTTACACAGCATATAGAAATAAGACAAAATGAAATTTCAATATTAGCTACTATGATAAAAAAAAAAAAAAGTAATTACAATAATAGAACATATCGGTAGTATATCAAGTATCGGTAAAATAGGTTATTGCATAATGAACACACCGGTTTTACTAATGTAACTTGTTATTCATTTTTAAATTTTTTTTTTTTTTTTAATCGTCTTTAAACACATAGTTATACATATATACACGCACACTTATGCACACAAACACACACACACACACACACACACTTTAACATAAAACAATTTATAGTGTTGTATACAACATAATACATATATAACTATGATTTAATTTACAGAAAAAAAATAAATATATTAATGAAATTATAATTATCATACACAATTTTACTATTTATTAAGGATCCATTGAACATTTTGTTTAATACATTTATTTAACATTAGATAAGTGTCTTGCTGTATGTAATAATAATATGCTATTTATTTAATAAAAAGAACAATATTTTGGCTCTATGAAATGTATTTTAATTAACAATTTATTTTAGGAACTAATTCGATTAGTTTAAATCAATTATTTTAAAAATTAACTAAAATTAATCTTTATCTAATTTCAAGTATCATTATTACTTTTCAATTTGAATACGTACAATAAATATATCACAGTAAATACTGCATGCATGCAAATAAAAGGTGTTTAGAATAGTGAGTGTTCACAAAAAATATAACAAGATAAGTTTCTACAAACATTAAACCATAAAGGACGAGTGTATGGGTTAATTATACAACAAAGGCTATAATAAATAAATACAAAATAATAAAATAAATTATAAAATTATAGTACTTTTTCTTTCTCAAAAATAGTAATACCAATGGTGCGAAATTATTTGTGTAACTTGATTTTTTTATTAAAATACACTAGATAAGAATATAACTACATTAAAAAAAAACTTAAAATCATTGTTTAATGTTAGTTATTAAAATAAAATAAAAATCTCTAATAATGTAACTGATCCACTGAAAATTTAAATAAATATATGAATAAATTAAATAAACACAACCAATCGATCTTGAGAAAGAAAAAATATTTAAAATAAATTATTATTGTAAAGATATTTATCAATCAAGCACAGCCTGTTCCAAGGGCAAGGGGCAGTGTTACCAGCCGTTTTTGTAATATAATTAATTAATAAATTACTTAACCTTAATCATTATAACTACTATACATAAAATTTCATTGTTTCACGCTAAGTTACAATTTATTTAAAATTAAAATTTAATATCACAGATATGTTTGCAGATCATTTTCATTAAAACAAAATACTGCAATATATTATTATAAACTAAAAATTAAATAATTATTGTAATTAAAAAACATTTTTTTTAATTTAAAGAATTTTAGTGTATGTCAAAATTATACTAAAAAGACAGTCATATCAATAACAGTTTTGTTAAGTGCACGTCGTAGGAGATACACCATATGTGTTAACTCTCATTTCTTCAATTGCTTTACACCATTCTAACGCAAAACCTTCAGGATCCTCCAGGTAATAAGTTCTGTTGGGCTATAAAAAATCAAAATAAAATGTCAACATTATTTTTTAGTTGAAACAAATAGGTAGATTAATTTTTATCAAATACTACAAAAAGTATAATTAAAATATAAGGCAGAAATTGTAGTTACCGTATGAACAAAAAATATCCTGAAATTTTTAGGTTCCACGCGTAATTGTGGACTCCAAGGTATTTCTCCTTTTAAAGTCATAGTTACTGGATCAGCATAATACAAATGTGGACCCATCGTTAACATCAACATACGTCTTCTGGCAAAAAGACCCTGAAAAATAAAAGATACAAATTAATATCATAAAAATGACAGAATACACTTAGTAGGTATAGGTTTGTTGAACAACAAACTCACTTTTCGCTTGTCGACTAGTCCTTGTTTGACTATCAAATTTCCCTCTACTAGACTATGCCATTTGCTGTTGCACTTTTGCTGGTGTAGTTGGTGTTGCTTTTCTTCGTCGTTCATATGAAGGATACCCGACCGTTTGCGGGGTCTAGGTACAGGTGCAGGGGTGGTAGTGGAACTACTTTGGCCGTCCAAACCCAATAACCTGGTAAGTTGTTTGTCGTCTAGGCCCGGTTCCAAATTATCAGGAACTCGATATTGGCTACGAAGCTCTTGGCCTTCACTATTGCCAGGTAGGTAAGGGTATATAGGAGGTGGAATTGTTACATGTAACGTGTCAAAATCCAAGCCATTATAGAACGGATGTGAGCGGATGGAAGTGTACCGTTGATTATCCTTAGTACCCAATCTTTCATTTGGATCGAGCACCAACAGTTTCTGTACCAGATCTTTGGCGTCTGCATTGAATCCATCCGGATACACATAGTCGAGGTTCAGAATTTTCTTAAACAACATGTATTCACTCCTGCACGAAAGGAATTCATTTAGTAAGTAATTATTAAATTATTATAAATTTAATTTTTATAATATAACAAAATATATAATACACATCAAAAAACATTGATGCGTATCAAAATATTTTATAATACAGGTACGTACCTAGATCTAAAGGGAGGTAAGCCTGCAATCATTTGGTAGATAATGCAGCCGAGGGCCCAAAGATCAGAACTGGGCGAAATCGTTTTCTCAGTTAATAGTTCGGGACTGACGTATTGAGCAGTTCCAACGAAACTGTTACTCCGCTGTCGAGGGTTATCTTTGTTCAAAATAGAATTGTCCACAGCATCGGGCTGTTCGAGTATCTTTGAACACCCGAAATCGGCAACCTTGATGTGCATATTGTGGTCAAGCAATATGTTTTCCGGCTTCAGGTCCCTATGCATAATGTTCAGGTCGTGCAAGTGTTCTAGAGCACGAAGGATTTCACCTGAGTAAAATCGTGTGCAAGCCGCGTCGAACGAGCCCACTTTGTTTATGTACGGTAGCAAGTCACCGTTCTTTGCGTATGACATAACAAAGTCTACAAGTAAACGTTAAGGAAAAAACCACAGAAATAAGCAACCAGACATAAGAATTATACAGCTTAATGCATAGAGAATTTGTGTACAAATTAATATTCATAAAAAGTTTGTAAAGGATACAGAGTCGTTCGGCGTCTTGGAACGTGCAGTACAGCTTGACGAAAAGACTGGATCCAGAATTGCTAAGAATATTAAGGGCATCTTTTTCGCGACGTACTTGTTCACGTTTCTTTTCTCTGATAATTTGTTGTTTTTCGCATACTTTAACTGTAAATCAAAACATAATTTATCATCAGTAAAATGTTCACCGGTATTATATATCATTGTATATATATTATTAAAGTACACTTTGATAATTAATGTCATCATTATAGGTACGGGGATGGGGGATAATTAATGTCAACTAATTTACATAATTTACAGAGGGTTTCCCCCCTCCACAACGAAGTGCTAACACTCATCGGTTAGGTATATTTTGAGTACAACAACGAAATTGTATACAGAAGAGAGCGATAATAAAAAATCTACTGAAATTAACACCAAAATTAATTAAGCGAAGAAGTCGTATAAATATTAATACTTAATAGCCAACTAATATGCGTTCGTTTCATCGTAAACGTCTATTGTTCAAGGGTAATAATAGGTACACGTGCCCGAAAACGAACACAGTATACCGACATCGCGAAGGTTGACACGTGGAAGTCGCATTCATGTCAAGTAGTATATTATATTGGACTATAAAAAAAGTACATACATAAGACAATAACGGCATTTTGAGGTCATCAAATTTATTCTGATAAAATACAGTAAAAATGAACGCGGGAATTGGCGAATCTTATAATATGTTCCACCCCATCACCCCTCCATTAAGCATCTCCTTCACAAACATGTATAGCACTGTCGCGTAGTTAATAGGTAACTATTTTTCTCCATTGAGATATAAATTGAATCTAATCCTAATTATAACTGATGTAGTGGTAATGATAGACAATAATAAAAGTACACAAAATATTATATATTTGTACACTATATATGAGTCATTGAATATATCAAATAGACACTCACTTGCATGTTCACGATTTGTATGTATGTCTTTGGCCAAATACACCTGGAAAGATAAAAACAATGGCATTTAACGTACGTGTTTTGAACGATATGATAATAAACAGTATTATTGCACAGTTGTATTTTTAGTGTTGTGTGTGTGATGATGATGATAACACGTCGGTCACTGAACCGGTCTAAAAACAGTCGTAGCCAAGGTCAATGAGTTTACGCCAAGCGTGTTACAACGTATATACCTAACCTATAGGTAATACACTATTACGATACCCGAGTGTCAAAGGTCTTTTTGAGGACATACGGGTTGGTAACATGACAGCAACGACAATGTTTTCGGACGCGATAAATGGTTTTTTTTACCCGATAGAATAACGCATGTGCGGCCACGTAATGTCCACACACACCACTGTGCGAAATGAATGGCGCGTGTCGATGATAATGGGTTTGGCGAACCGGCAGAAAGGTCGACGACGATGTAAAAAAACAGCATAAAAATAGATCGTTCGAGTAATTATGTTAGCGGAGGTCGGTATGACGATAAGGAATTTTGCATTCGTAGGTGTTGTTTGCTGAGAGCGTATAATAATAAACAAATTACCTACACGAAAAACTTGTGATCGTCAAGGTGGTGCGCTGTTGGCAAGTGTATAATATATTAGTATGCAATATTATATTGGCGATTTTTTGTGGAAGTATATAATATCAGTCAGGTAGGTAATTTTATGAAGCCAATATACGCCAGCGGAATCTAATAATGCCGTAGTCGAGAATCGTGATAATATAATCAGCGTGGAATTATATGTATAAGTAAATAGATTAATTATTATTAATCTTTTATTAATTTATTGTATTGTGGCGGACAGTGGTTATTATTTTAATACTTACAGTCGAGTAACTTCCCTCGCCGATGACCTTTCCGAAAATGTAATCTTTTGGATTGCGTTTCGTCACTGGTATCATGTTGGCGGGTAAAGACTGACTACCACTTTTGACTTGTACCATTTGGGACGTTTGTGTGGCCTGAGTTGACGGTGTCGGTGGCGAAGTCGTCTGCATGGTTGGAGGTGGAGGCATAACGACGATTTGCTGCTGCGGTTGGTGGTGGAACGCGGCGGTTGAGGACGATTTAGCTGCTGCTATCTGTGAAAAAAAAGAAGACGATATTATAATACTATTATATATTTATACAAAACTGAAATAATAATAATAAAAAATCGCGAGTTGCGACGTGCATGCGGAAAGAAGGGCCGGTTCGTCGAAAAAATCTAACACCCGCCACCGTGATCTCCACCCGACATGCACACAAATTAAACTTAAAAAAACATTACACCGATGGCGGCAGTGGTAGTTGCGGAGGCCTCTGACGTCATTTGGCAAAACGCCCAACGTCAGAGAGCATCTCTTCCCGTCCGTCGGTGGCGACAACGACCGAAATACTAAATGTAATATAAAAAAAGAAAGACATAACTGTAGTATTCGCGAAAAAAAATCGTACTATCTTTGTCTTGGCAAATTTTTATTAGCTAAACGTGTTAGTATTTAATAATATAGAAGTATACGATAAAGATAGAAATAATAATTTAATAAAAATATTCGGCTGCAGCAGCAACAACATCATAGACATCAATGGGGCATAATGCACCATACACGCTCTGCACTCGATACCCAGCCTTTGTTTAGAAATCGTGCACATTTTAACGAAGCGTTTACGTAACAGAATACCCGACGATCGAAATGCATTCGGCGGCTTCGGCGCATAGTTTGCAAGGTTGCGGCCACAGCCATGGCGGCAGTTATGTATATATTATAAAATTGTTCATAACAATATTAATATGCGAGTCGTTTCCGGATGGCGATGGGCGAGGAGAAAATTGTAATAATATGGAAAGTAGGTACGCGGGTTTTTACACATCACGCAACACATAATTCGAAAAGCTTCCGTCATAATATATTATGTTTCGTTTTTTACAAACGAGTGTGTATACAAAACCTTGGTTTTTTGAGAGGAGGGTCAAAATTTAATATCGACGCTGATCCAACGATCGGCGAAATCTATATATATGCGCATTAATATAATATTATTGCACAGAGGCATCAAGTTGGGGCAACAAGAGGACGACGAGACGATTTTTTTTAGCGCGACGGAAGGCGCTAGAGCCGCATCTTTTGGACGGCTATCAGACGGCGACCCTGTGACCCGGGCCAGACGGTGTGCCGTGCCAAATACGCCCGGCTTGGTCGGGCCGCCCAGACACGTCGCGCGCGATTCTCTATTTCGGAACGATAAAAATGTTATGTACGCCGCGAGGCGCTGCTGCTGCTGCTGCTATTGGCGACGGCCACCCGCGATCACATCACATACATTTCCATACGGCGGCGGCGGCGACGACTATGTACACGCACATGTATATATGTAAGTATAACGAGTAATCAATAGGGGGGAGGGGGTTCACGTACGCACGATTTGCAGTAACGCACCCGTAGGGCGATGTCCTGTGCGGAATGCTACACGAACGAAATGTCGACGAACGATATACACGAATACGTGGTGGAGGGATGGAATGAGGGATCTAACTTTCTACATGAATTTAAAAAAATAAAACTTAAAGTAATTTTAGAAAGAAAAAAAAAGTACTGGCGATATGAAAATTTATTATTATTTAGATAGTAGGTAGGTATTTATGATGCATTACGTACGGAAGTGGAGAGGTTTTTGATGAGGTGACGACAATATTATTGCACAACAGCGCGCGAACGCCATAAACTATTACACTGATGCTCGGCGCTCTGTTGCAGGACGACGACGACGATGCGCGCCCGCAACAACGATGTCAGTGTGTCGCGGGCGCTTTCGTTGGTGCGTTATACTACACCACACACACAAACGCGCACTTGTGACGTAATTGCGTGGGATTCGGATAGAGTAAATAAAACAACCCTATATCCCTCTTCTACCACTTGTCCCGCCAGCTCGATATCGTAGATTATGACGTAAACGGACGTTATATATTATTATTATGATTGTGTACACCGCAGTACTGATTCAATTCCGTATACTGGACGGGAAGACAAGATAACTGATGGAAAAATTCGTTGAGAAAAATCGCACGGCCCCACCGGAATACGACATCCGCTTCGTCGGTGTACACACCTATTACACAATTTTATGTATTATATAATAATATATTATAGGTATAGCATTCGATTGGAATTCGTTTAGCGGTTCACACGCGCACCGGCAACACACATTTTTATTTTCGAGCGCACAAACACAGAAAACCCGTTATATCCGCACGACTACTCGGCTCGGAAGACTCTACGGTATATCACAGAATTATTGCCAATCGCTTCGTGTTTCGGCGGACACCCAACAATCTCTTTCCCCTCCATCCTAACACCCCGGGGAAGCTGTGTTCGCAGACGACAACCTCGACCAGACTCCCTCCTCCATCAAACCAAAGTTTTAGGGGTATCCGGAACTAGGCGATCGCGTAATCACGAGTGTATAATATAGTGTATAAATTATATTATATTATGCACCGTCAAATTTGTTTTCGCCTCTACACGTTTTTTACGAACGTAGGTCGTCGACGAAGAAGGGAAAAACGATATTTTTTAGCGGTCCAGCCGTCTCGGTATATGTGCGTGCTTGTGTGTATGTTTTTGATGATTATTACATGTTACGCATTTTGATGGCAGGCCAAAAGACTGTTTTTTTACAGTCATTGCCGCCTGTGCATAATATGAGCTCATAGAGATTGCCGGGAGAGAAGTGAGAGAGCAGAAGGGAACGCCATTGCCTTCCTCCACGTGCCGGTCGTTATGATAATAAAAATAATATTAAATTTCGCTACACCTGTACACAGTACATAACACTAAACACACACAGCAAAACACAGTGTAGTCATTTCATCGTAAAACTTTTTTTAAAACCGTTTTCGCCACTCTCCGGCGCCCGTCCAATACTGTATATATAGGCCGTTTTATGTATGTATATTAATGCAACGGTTGACCTATATTTTCCGTGCGTTCGAAATACGGTGGCGACGGCTCGACGTAAACAACCGATCACACAAACACATACAAAATCGCTGCTATATTTTACTACAGTTGCTACTTCCTAAATCATTCGTACACCATAGTCGTATAATATACATAACTACCTATCCCCGTGCACTTTGTTGCCAGTAAAAAATGCACCGGTGTTAAATTTGGTTACCTAATGCTAACATTAATTAGTGTAACGCGTATGGATAAATAATATTTTTGATTTTTTAATTTGGTGTATAGATAATATTATTATCGACATATCAACTTTACATAGCTATCCCACAAAACATAGCCTTTTTTTACTATTTAACAGCAGAATTTTTTTAAAATTATTTTCCTTTGATTTTTTGATTTTTTGACCTAAATTTTATTTCCATTTCATTATGGACTCGTATATTCTCAGCAATTCATAAAGTTTTAATAACGTAAACCAAAAACAACCAAAAAGTTTTGTTCTGTTAAACTAAATCAACTATTTACTAAAATACTAATTTCTAATAATAACTAATAATTTGTAACACGGATAAAAAAATTATCTTTATATGCGCAATCAACGATTATTTATAAACTTGTATAAATAGAAATAGTTCTAAAACCTGCTTTTTAATGAATTCTTTAATTTAAAAAAAAAATCAACATAATCGGATGAGTAGTTTCGGAGAACATGCGTGACAAGGATTTCCATTTTCATATTTATTTATATACGTAGATATGAAGTTAGTGAAATTTTGCAGTAAAACTCAACTCGGTTATTATGTTGGTTTTGTTTTGTAGATAATTACGATTGCGTTACCGCCCGCACTCGACGACGTGACATTAAGCTTGTTTCTTCCGTTTCGGATAGGAGAAAAAATAACAGCACATTACCTATTATACAAGCTTCGCTGTGTAATCGGCACGCATATTATTACCATTATACTATAATGGTATATTATTTTGCGTACAATTTCAACAGCAGTGGAGGCGGCAAATAACCTTCACCCACATATTATCGTTGTTGTTATTGTTGTTGTACACGATGACGACAACAGACAGTTTGTAGAGATTTTGGGCAATGTTAATCATTATATTACAGTGTACAAGAAACATTGCATAAATCAATAGACTTATGGATGGTCGGGTGGTGGCCTGTAACGGGTCACATGTATAGCTAGTAGTGTGCTACGGGGTTCTATGGATTTAGTGTATGTCCAGGTTTAATACATAATACACGTATATTTTTAAAAATGCGGAATTTCGATCATCCACAGACTCAACAACAACACGACGGGGTTTTGTGTAGGTGTGTGTTTATGTTTACGGCAGCGAGGCGGGAAGAGGTGGTAGAATCGATATTAAAGAGTAAAATCAATAAGACCATATTCTTTGAAAAACATCGTTTTAAAGATTTTGACTTCTAAGGAAAGGCATGAATGACGTTATACGCATTATATTATATTAATCCAATTCAAAGAATAAATCCTTTATTTCGTTTGTTACTTTAATGTTATCGTATCGTCCATCCCATCGACGTGACTGTCGCGCTACGTCTAGGCGTCGCGTGTTCAAAAACAAATTTATAAAAATGGTGCACACATGATACACTTTAGTAGTATTATCTACACTGATATACAGAGGCGGTGCGTTGTGTAAAAACGTCCGCCTCGTAAATATTAATTAGAAAACAGAGTAAAAAAAAAATCGTATCACTGTACGTCGTTTGTGTGTGACACTGGTATGCGGCTAGAGATAAAGTAAAAAAAACAATAATAATCGTTTAATTCGGCGGCACCGAAAGCGCCAAGTGTGTGTGTGTGTATTGTTTGTTATCGCGGGCGGCGGCGCATTTCATTCAAAACATTGACGCGATCGGAAACCACACGCACGCACACGTTGTTGTCGAGTGTACACAGTGGTAGTGTGTGTGCATCCGAATTGCGTCATTCAACCATTTGTGGCGCGTTATCTCTCGCGGGGATCCGTCGGCGGCGTGTGACGTAACAAATATCGTCTCGAACCGGACACGGCTTTAAAGTACCGACGCCACACGAGTAGCGGGGGTGTACACCGACCAGACACACTGAATAAAATACAATTTAAATAAAAAAACA